GTACAGACACCAGAGCTAATGTTAGCGACAACACTCCTGGAACAGACTCTAGAGCTAACGTTAGCTACAACAGCCCTGGTACAGACACCAGAGCTAATGTTAACTAAAGCTAATGATCTTCAGTGATCTGCGGGTTCTGTCTTCTCCTGAACAGTGTTGCAGGAAGACAAAGACACACACTGAGAATCTTAGGAACGAAAAAAATCAATGCTGCATTAATGTGGCGGGCCGGATTAAATAGCTGAACGGGCCGCATCCGGCCCCCGGGCCTTAGTTTGCCCATGTCTGGACTAAATGCTTTTTAAACTCCCACGGGCCACACAAAAAAGCTCGGCGGGCTGCATTTGGCCCCCCGGGTCTTGAGTTTGACACATGTTGGTCTAAAGGTCAAAACCCAGCTAGTCTTATTAAATAGCAGCCTGTGGACCACATATGGGCCACACACTACTTCAAGTGGAGTGGTCCAGTGTGTGCTCATTTGAGAAGCACAGAGAGAAAGAGCATGAAAAAGTGAGGACCATTTGGCTAAGTATCATAAATTCCTACAGATGACAGATGACTTGAATGCAACACTCGCCATAGTCAAGCAAAATGCAACCCACATTGCAGGACCCCCTCACTGGACAAATGTCTATTAGACCACCAAAGTCTGGCACGGATGATAACAGATGGATTTTCAGGAGCTCTCACCTTAATTCAATTCTTTTTTTTTTTTGGCCAATAAAGTGGGAGGGTCCGTCCCCCACCCCTGGACTTACACCTTTAAACCACCCCTCGAACCTCCTCAGTTCTTGTCCACGTGTCTGTGGACTGCAGCCCAAACATCTGTGACTGAACTTCATCGCGTTGACGACAAATACTGCCTGAGCAGAGTACATTAAAGCGGAGAATCCAGAAGTGCCGCGAAGTACGAAGACCGGGCTGTGACCGCTCCCGCTCCCGACTTACAGCTTCGTCCGGGCCAGACGCCATGTAATCTGCCCCGCTCGCAACAAATGGGTGAGGCCCGAGGGCGAGGGAAAAACGGAGGTGAGGGAGGAAAAGCACAGAGCCAAGTGACTTTGACTGGCAGCCTGGATGAATGAGTGGGAGAGGAGGGAGGGAGAGAGAGAAGGGGGGGAAAAAGGGTGGGAGCCAGGGAGAGGAAGATGGAGGTAGACGGCAGAGGGGAGGAGGAAGAGAGAGAGGAGAGGGGGGGGTGATTGTTTCTGGAGCTTTAGAGGTTTCAAATTTCCAGTTTCTTTGGATTCTCAGCTCCGCAGCAGTTTGAATCTCTTCCCTCCTTTCTTCCTTCACTCTCTGATTTTTTTTAACTTTTGGACTGTTTTTTTTTTTTCAGAGCGGTCCATTCTTTCCTTGTCCCGGCATGTTGTAGACAGCCGCCTGTAACGGGAAGACTCCAGAGTGAAGCACGCCATAAAGAGGAGTAGAGGGGAGAAGGAAGTGAAGGAAAGGATGGTGAAAGAAGGTAAGACCGCCGCTGCCTCACGTGTGTGACAGAGGAGAGAGAGAGGAGGAGGAGAGGGAAAGGCAGGGGTCTCCAGTTTCTGCTGCCTTTGTGTCCAGTTTCTGTCAGGACACACACAGTGTTGGCTCTATACTGTAGTACCTGTGTGTGTGTGTGTGTCCCTGTTCTCTGTGCTAGTCTAGACTTTCACCTGCATTCACACTAATGATGACCTGAGTCACTGTAAAAAAATGCTGTTTGGCCCAGAGTCTCTGTTTGGAGTAAACTAACTTGAGCAAAAAAAAAAAAAAAAAATTAAAATAGTTTTTGTAGGGCCAGGGCATGAACATTTTCACTTTGACTATAATTATCTACCGACAAAATGTGACAAAAAATAATGGAACTTTTTTTGACTATTTCCTGGCAAAATAGCTAAACTAATGTACATACTCCAGTCAATAGATGGCAGTAATGCACTAAAAGTTTGTTTGTCGGCCAGAAGAAGATGAACAGATGCATTGATTCAAGATGAGACCATGCTTGGTTATTAGGGTGGAAGTTAAAAAAAAAAACAACAACAAAAACTTGCAAACAACAGGCACCAGAGTTAACGTTAGCTCCAATAGTCCTGGTACAAACCCCGAGCTAACGTTAGCGACAACAGTCCTGGTACAGACACCAGAGCCCACCAGAGCTAGGTTCGATTCCCAGCGGAACAACATGGTTGGCACTTGCTAATGTTAGCTACAACAGTCATGGTCATGACACGAGAGTAAATGTTAGCTACAAGTGTTCTGGTACAGGCACCAGAATACATGTTAGCCACCAGAGTACTGGTAGAGGCAGCAAGGCTAACATTAACTACAGTTAGCTCTAGAGTCTGGTACAGACTCTAGAGCTAACGTTAGCAACAACACTCATCGTACCGACACCAGAGCTAATTGTAGCGACAAACCC